GGTGGGCTGGGCGTCCCCCGGCCCAAAGGGGAGCTTGAGGACTGGGCAGGGGGCTCTGGGCCGGATGGCGGAGGGAGGTTTTGTTTCTTGGGATCTGTGGGGTTCCCAGTGCGGTGCCATTTCGGGCGAGGGGGGACGGTCAGTTTCTGATTACTCGTGGGGATTTTCCACGAAAATAGCGTCAAATCCCCTTCACGCCTTTAGACACTTGAGATAGGCTCTTGGAGGATGGCTGCTGTCAATGCGCAGCTTGTTAAGATACTAAAAAAAAATTTCTGGGTTCTACAGAACTGTTCCTAGGCCTGTTTGCTGGTGCCAGAAGGCTTCCCTTGTGCTGGGCAGGTCTCCCACGGGGTGACCCCAGAGCAGCGGTGTGGCCTTGGAAGGGGGAATTCTTGGGATGCTGCCCCTACTGCAGAAGTCTCTCATGGAAGCAGTTTATTTCTCAGCTATTAAAACGAATCTTTCTCCACTTTCCTTGATACTGGTCAGAAGGAACATTATTAATTGAGCAGATTGGGCTAGATAACTTGTTGAGATCTTTTCTAGAGTCTTCCTAGGGGAGGGTCAGGGAAGAGTAGAAAAATGTGTTGTTTTGCTGTCACCACACAACTTGTTTTCATTGTCAGAACACTACAAAAAAATAGATGTGTGCTGCATTCTAGCAGCTAGCCAGCCTCTTAAACAGGTTTCCTGTTTTTAAAAAGCGTGCATATCATTTGTCATCAGGGCATGAACGAAAACTTGCCTGTTTTGTTGGTTTTTTTCACTCTTCTGATGCAAACGTGTATTATTACTGCATTGCTTTCTGTGGAAATTCACTATCTAGGATAAATGTGATTTATACAAGCATTCCCAATATGGGTAAAATTAAATATGTCATCCATATTTTTAGTCTTAGTTAATTCAGCTGCAGGAAATTTCATTGCTGCTTTTGACTGCAGCTTTGAAGTCTTCCTTTTTTAAGATGATCGGGTAGGAAAATTTGAGAATCAAACCAGATTTTTTTTTCCCTAGCTTTAGTTAAATTGTTCTAATTCAGACAAGAACCATCAAAGAGATGTTTTCTAGACCTGGGTGGGCTCAAACTTCATGTGTTGGAAAATTGTTATTTGACTATGTTAGAAGCGTTAAAAAAATTATAATGTAGTAAATTCTCTGATGATTTTTAGTTTTCTTCCTATAACACAAAGACCAGCTAAAGTTGGGTATGATACTGGGTCTGATATCCTAGCTTCTCTTTTCCTGTTTCATACTGAATATGGAAAATGTAGTTGTAACTCTTGCAGTCGTGATTATTTAATGAATTTTTTGTTTTGCCATAACAATAAAGATACAGGTACTACAAATGAACATTTTCCAACTGGTTGCTTATTTAAAGTGTGAGATTTTTCAGCCCAGCACCACCTTAGCTAATTAAGTAGCTATTAAAAAACAGTCCTGTAAATCTATATAGATATGTAAGGAACTCCTGTGCAGACAGCAGATTGATAAGGGGCATGCTGATGCTAATTAATTAACAACTCACTGAACTGAAATGTTAGAAACCCCCTTATTTCCATCATGTCCCCATCTCCTTTCTCCAAACATGCACAGAGACATACAGGTAAAGAATCTTCTGGAGAAGAAACTAGGGTAGCTCAATTGGAAGGAAAAATGAGAGAAATGTCTGATTCTGTCTTCATGCAAATTTTATCCAGCATGTTCAATCATCTAAAAAAATTTACACATCAGACCTTTCTGCTTTTTCCTGCCCAGATATAATATTGCCTTGTCAAATGCAACTAACAAGGAGTAGGTAGATTGCTCTTCTTGCTTAACATCTGTATGTGAAACTGAATGCTAATGATTTCAGCTGCTTTTTTGAAGTGCGATGTTTCAAAATGTTACAGAAGCAAAAAAGTTTATTGGTAAATCCCTTCAGCCAGCACGACCTGCACATCAACTGTCTTCTAAACAAGGTGAGTAGCATGGCTCAGGTGCAGTTCACTTTACCAAGGTTTGGATTATGGTTTAGGGAAGTAACAAGGATTGTTTTGTTTTGTTCTGTTTTTAAATTACTTTGTTAAACTACAGTGAGTAAATACCTTGCTGTGTGTTGATCTTACTACATCATCTCTGTGATAAAATCTGAATTTAAACTATATTAGGTTTATGCAGAGCTCTTTGGTACTGCTCTTCTAGCTTGGCATCTGAAATGTAGCTTCAGAAAGCGAGATCGGGCTTCTCCATTAAATTTGGATTTCTTTGGGTAGCTGACTCCAACAATTGAAAACATAAAATACACATAATTTAACAGATTATTTAGGTTTTATTGCAAGTACAGTGCACTGCACTGCATTGTTCTTACCTAGCTCTCATACAAATTCAAGATGAAAAAAAACCCCACAAAGTTTTAAGAAAAAAAATCATGCAGTGTTCATGTTAGGTGTGAATATTTTGGTTTAAATTTTAAACCTCTAAAGATTAAAGATTAAAGCCTAGATATTGCAGTATTACAGTTGTTATTATTGTTAAGTTAGAAATTTTTGGTGGTCATAAAATCATCAGCTGTGCTGATGTGGACTAAAGCTAAGTGACATCATAAATTTTTACTTTGTATAAAATTTATGGAAGAAATGGAAAAGGGGTCTTGTGGTGATCTAGAGCTTCTAAGCTGTGAATAAATGCCCATATAATCTCTGTGCAAGAAGGAGTGTTCTTGGGGCAAGTATCACAAAATAATACTGTGGAATCTACTGAAATTGTTTTTTCCTGATGTTTTATGCTCATCAGCATCACCCATTGCTTTAAACATTCGGACTGAATTACCCAGCAGCACTGAAGTATGTTTGCAGAGTAAGGTTAACTGGGTGAGTATTGACTAAATATATAATTATTTATAAATTGAAGATCAGCTGATCTGTTATGTAACCAGATGAAAACTATTTCCATCCAGGAGTGTCCTTGACTCTGAATGTTTTAAACCAGCAGTGTCAGAACTGTTAAAAAGTATTATAAGTTTCAGGAATGCTTTTCTCTGGTATTTGCAAGCATTAATATCTGAAAAATGCAGCTTAGGAATTTAAGATTCTTCTGAAAATCTGTGGCATTTCTTTAGTCCTCACTGAATTTAAGTCAGCTCTTTTAAATTTAGAATGTATGTATTCTGTCTTCACTTATTATGTGTAAATAAAAAAATAGGATTTTTTTTTGTTGTTAGCACATGCACAAATTCATTTGAGACAGCAAACATCATAAAAGTTTATGCTTTATTGGTGGAAGTGCTTGGCTTTGGACATGGTATGGATATGTTTTTCAGACTTGAAATTGGTTGTAGCTGTTTCCTGGAAAATGAAGTTTTAAGTCTTCCAACTGGAATGCATCATGTTTCATAGCTTGAATTTGCCTTTCTGTTGATTCTGATTTAAATGTTTTTTCAAAGCATTGATAGATAAGGGGTTTTGTTAGAACAAATGTTCCTTAATTTTTACTTTATTTTTTTATTATTTTAGAAGGGTTTTAGTAATTCTGTAGTCCTTCTTCATTGTATTAAGCTTCTTCAAGCTGCCTTTTACTTTAAAAAAATAATAAAAAAAAAGTCAAGGTCTTGCAAGCTTATCTTGAGTTGTCTCTTGAGCAGTAATTACTGAGGAGAACAAACTTCTCCCTTTTAAATAAGCCTCTGGTCATCAGTGTTGTAATACTCAGTTTCATCAGTGTTTAGCTACATGTAGCTGCATATTGCATTTGTTTGATATAAGTATAGATGTATTTTTTATATTTTTTTAAATGTCTTCTTTAATATTGTATACGGAAAAGAAATTTTAATAATAGTTTTGACCATGAACTGTTTCATGGGTACCCCAAATATCATCTGAATAGTCTCCAATCTTGATGAGCAATTTTCAGTTTTTTCCCACTTCCCATCTGACTCAGAGTGATGTTAATACTCTTCAAACCTGTACAACCTTTTCAGAGCTAAGACAAGCTCTTAAGGATAAACTAATTTTCAGCTTTCCAAAACACGTTCTTCAAGGTTTTGACAGCTGGGAAAAACTTGGCAATATACTGTGGATATTGGGTCTTGGTGCTTATGAAGCAAACCTTTTTGCTAAGTGAGAGAATCCAAGTCCATCCTTGGGTCTTAAGGTCCTTCCTGCCTGTATTATTCCTGAATGTAGCTTGTGACTGTGTTCTAGGTGGGATAATAGAAAAGGAGGGGATAAATGTGTTTGTTTTAAAACCTAGCTGTAGCACTGTAAAATTCTGTGTAAAAAATGTCTGTCCGGTATGTTCAGACGTATTGTTTTATCAAACTATTTCCTTATTGTTTGCAGTCAAGAGTTACATTCTACAGGTTCCAATTAAGCTGTGCTACAACTGTTACTTTTAACTAAGAAACATATATCCTTGTTTTAGTATGCTTTAAGGAGATAAGCTTCATCACTTTCCTTCCTGTTTTAGTCATCGGAAATGACTGAAGTGAAGATCTTAACTCAAACTGTGATGCTCTGTCAACCAAAACAACATGAATCAGGAGCAAAAAAAGGTAAAATACTGCATGGGGAGCTGTGTCAGGACTGTATTTTCTGGATGGAGGACAACTGAGCTTTGAAGTGATGTGGGCTGCACTTTATGGTTTCTGATCAGCTAGCACATTGATATTTTGGAGAATATGAAACTTTTCTGCTTTTCACATAACACTCTAGGGAGTGTAAAAGGTGTAAAATTTGACCATAACTGAGGTGGAAAACTGGTAGACTTGCTTTCATATAGGGGTATAACTGTCTTAAAAAAAAACAAACAAACCAAACCAACCAAACAAATAAAAACCACAACCAACCCCCTGAAAAAACAGACTCCAAACATAAAAAGATTCTTCACACAAAATCCTTGGTTTGTATAGATTGCCTGTGTGTGTAGAAGTATGAATTTGATTTGCATCCTTTAGCCTGTTGCAGGGCTCAGTTGTGGCGTACAGACGAATGTAATCAAGTTAAGAACTCAGGATTTCGGCTTTCTTGTAAAATAATAGTATTTGGGTGGTTAGATATTAATTAAATTTTTATTATTATTAATTTGGTTTATTGTTAATTTTTATTATTATCCTGAATGATTTGTTTTTGTGTCAGTACTGTCCTTAAGGTTAGCTTCTAATGGTTTTCTCTCTGTGATGCATGCCACTGTACTCATAGAGAATTGGTAGTTCAACCAAGTCAAAATTTTACTCCTTTTTTTCTTCATTAAGGGATAATCTCAGAATTCAAATGCATTCTCACAGTACTTTCTGCTTCTTACCTAATTCTTCATTCTTAAACATATCACAGAAACTGCATCAGTGACCCAGGTTAGGTAACCAGTTTATTGAGAGTTTCTTTATTTTGTCCATGTCTGCCTGTAATCAGGCATCCATCTGTAATCTCCAATCCTTAAGTAATCTCTGAAGATGTGGTTTGTTCTTTTATTCTTCATACTCAAAATTTGAAAGAATTATATTAAGTTTTAATGAGGCTTTTGTATTTTTGTCAGTCTTAGGTTCCCATCTCTCAGGGTCTTGAGCATTAGTTCTGTTCTGTTGTGTGTTACTGACTTGAAAATAAGTCTTCCATGTATCTCCTTTCAAACTCAGGTTAATTTCTTCTATTTTTGATCTTGATAAATAGAAGAAAGTTCGGGTTTTTGGATCTAGTTAGGTGACAGACTTGTCAAGTTTTATCGGTCTGGTGGTGTCTTTCTGATCCTTTCTCATCAATTCTGCTTGTGGTGGGTAGAGATTGTTTTGTTCTACAAGATCTTAAGCAGGTTCTCATCAGATCCTGGTCTCTTGCATAAGCCTCTCTTTGGATCAGTTTTTCAGTGGTTAATTGTTCTGTGATGCCTCCCTGAGTCTATTCCACAGTTCTCCGCACTGTTGAACTTTTTATCACACTTTTTTTCAAAGGGCTTTTGTTTGTTTGCTGATTGTTGTAATATTTCCTTCAGAGTTACACAGCTTTAGAGGTCCTACAATTCAGCTACTGCTTACAAACAAGTATTTTGTTTTCTTCTTTTCCTAGCACAGTAAAATTTCTTCTAGAACTCTGTTTATGTTCAGCTGTACTTCAAGTTCCAGATAATAATTTCCATTTGATATCTCTTCAGCGGTACTGTGCTTTGAATTATCTGTCTCTGCAGTTCTTAAGTGCAGCATGGGGTTCCCATGGGCCCACTTCTTGAGCTTTTCCAGGTCTCTCTGGATGGTATCCTATCCTTCAGGTGTGTCAACCACACCACTCAGCTTGGTGTTACCTGCAAATTTGCTGAGAGTGCAGTTCATCCCACTGTCTGTCATTGATGAAGACACTCAACAGTACTGGTCCAAATAAGAAACTCTGAGGGATACCATTCATCACTCACTGATCTACATCCAGACATGACCACTACTCTTTGGATCATAATATGGTTTGGGTTGAAGAGGCCTAAAACATCATCAGGTTCTGCCCCTCTGCCATGGGCAGGGTCACCTGCCACTACACCATGTTACTGAAAGCCCCACCCAGCATGATGCTGAACACTCCCAGGGATTGGGCATCCGTAACTTCTTTGTGCAGCCTTTTCAAGTGCTTCACCATCCTCACAGTAAAGAATTTCATTTTCATATCTAATCTAAACCTACTGTCCCTCAGCTTAAGGCCATTCCCCCTTTTCCTATCACTACATGCCCCTGAAAAGTCCCCCTCTCTATCCTTCTTGTAGGCCTCCAATAGGTACTGGAAGGCTTCCCCAAAGTCTCCCAAGAGCCTTCTCTTCTCCAGGCTGAACAACTATCTAAGCCTGTCTTCATAGGATAGGTGTTCCAGCCTTGTGATCAACTTCGGGACTCTGCTCTGGACTTGTTCCAACAGGAGATCAGATGCAGCAATCCAACCAGTTCCTCACCCCGTGAACAGTCCCCCGATTTAATCCACATCTCTCCAATTTAGAGAGAAGGATGTTGTGGGGGATTGTGTCAGAGGCCTTACAGAAGTCATTGTCTTCATAGGTTTTTAATAAAGGAGAGGAAACTACAAGCCATAAGTTTTGCACTATTCTTGTATTCTTTAAACTGTTTTTTTCAAAGTTCCTCACATGCCCTCCCTTAGGTTCACAAGTTACTGCATTGTTTGTGTTCAAAGGCAGGAAAAAATTCATGTCATAGTTGACATCAGTCTCTTTTCATCATTCTGCAGTCTGAGAAACAAAAACTGTTGTTCATCAAGTGACAATCTTGTAGGAATCCCATGATTCCTAAAGGAATAAGCATCAAGGACCAGAGATAAAATTTGTTCCTTCTTTGCCTAATTCCTTTCCTCTTGTTTCTTCTCTTGTTTGAGAATATCAGTTTAAATACAGACATTGCTAGACATACTATATACAAAGCTGTGACATAGTAGAAATAGTGCTATAAGCTCAAATGAGAAACCTGCATGTTCTGAGCAAAGGCTCTGACTCTTGTTGATACGGTATAATCCCTCAAAAGTATTTCACTGCTATAAATCTGTTTGCCATTTTACATGCAGCAGATCTCATCATTCCTTCTAGGTGTTGAAAGACATTTAACTGACTAGCTCCAAGAAAGGAGACAGTTATCTGTCCCTCAGAAATAGGTGCCACTTTGGAGTGAGTTATAAACACATTTTCTTGTGGGTTTCAAGACCAGTTTGTGGTGTTTCTGCTAATTAGAACAAGATACAGGGAGTCTGTCTGGTGTATGCTTGGATTCACCTTTTTTCTTCTTTTGTGTTGATTTACTGTGTCAGTTTGATACAGTTAAAGTGAAATGCTCTGTAATTTACTTCAAATTTTCCTGATGCAAGATAAGACCTAAATCACTTCTGTTTTTAAAACTGATTTTTATATTCCACATGTAGTATTTCTACCATTTTATAAGTAACCAAATAATTTTTCTGAATTCCCAATCTTAATCCCTTAAACAAGAATGTTGAACTTAGTGGTTTTGTATATTCACAGAAAGGATCCAATACAGCAGAGATTTCCTTCTGAAGCTTTCAAATGTTTCTCTCTCTCAGAAGAAACCAGAGTTTCTTCCTGATCACCCAATTGTACTTGAAAAGCCAGTAAGTGCATTTTTTTGTAGTAAGTGAAGTTATAAAATCATCCATGGAGGTTTTGATAAGCCTTTTGAAAGGAAACATTTTCCTTTAAACTGGCCTGCTGAATTGGTAAAACCTTCAAAGGACAGATTGTGTAGTTCAGCACAACTTTTGTATGTAACTTCTCCTGTTGGTATTTGACATCTTACCCTGGGTACCCCTTTGCCATATAAAGGAAAAGAGTTTTTAATTTGTTTACAGGAAAAAGATCAGATATACTTCCATGTTTTCAAAAGAAAAGAGAGCAATCTTGATAAATTTCCAGCTTGGTAAAAGTTTTAATCCATGTTGGAATTGTTTATGCATCAGTGTCCACTACAAAACAATTAATGAGCTCATTGCAGTTTGTATTATCATTATCTTTGGTTTTGGGGAGAAATTAATAGAAGTGAATGATGACTGTGAAGGATATCCATGTGTGCTACCTTTATTTTTGTGATGAAAGAGTCGTCAAATACTTCATACACTACGAGAAAACTGGATCGCATTCCAGTCTCCAAGTGTGGGAAAATCTTCTATGTAAACATCATATCAAATTAGGCTACATACTAGGTTGCTTTTGAGATCATTGAGATGTAGTCCTGTTAGAAATAGGATTCCTGTTATGGAGAAGTGTGTCCACATGATGATTGTGTAGGCCACATTTGGAAGCATTTTTAAACTTTTAAAATTTCTGTCCTTTGAAGAAACAAAAATTAACATAGGACCATAATCAGCTTTCCCTGATCATGCTTTTTATGTCTTTCTATTTACCCTCAAGATGAAAGCTTTATTTGTTTGAAAACCTGATTTCAGATTCAGAAGTCTTAGCTCTTTAATTTCCTGATTTCCTAAGGAAATTTCCTAATTTCCTTTTAAAGTTTAATTTCCTTTAATTTCCTAACTTTCCCCCACTCCTACCACCTGTATTTCTTAGAGTGGCAAATTTTGATGATCTGTTTGCTTTCAGATGTTTACATTCCTAGAAAAGGGAGGGTCCCTACAGAAATCAGTGAGATCACCTAGTTCATCCAAAATTCCAGCCTGTTGACTGATCACATCATCTATTTTCCTGCACAGAAACCAGAGGGATTGATGAGATGCATGTGTAAATTAAGTGAATTATGCTTAAAAGTGTCAGAAGGTGGCCTGCAAATAAATTTCTAATGATAGACAATCATACAGCGTCAGTGAGCTTGTATTTTGGAGCAGGTGGTTTTCTACAGTTTGCTGCTGAGCTGGATATTCAGGCAGTTCATGCTAAAGACTGGCCTAGTTCTGAATTTTTGAAGCCACTGCTGAAATATGTGCCCATTTATGAGTAACAGTTGTATTTTCAGATGAAGAAAACTTCCTAGAATTACTTGTACGAGGGAGATGCAGTTTTTACAGTTGAGGGACTGTGGACTGTATTTGTCCTGTAGGACACTGGGGTTTTTTGAGATGTGGAGATCAGGGCTACCAATACTTAGCTCAGCATTTGAATGTATGTTACTGTGTTGACACACAACAAGAAAATTTTAGATGAAGTCTCTATGATTAATGAAAATAGAACAGTTTCCATAATAAAAAAAAATCTCAATTGTGGAATGTACATGGAGTAGAAAAGAGTTACAAGCAAACTGAAATGAAAACTTGAAATGACCTATTATAGCTGAAGTAATTTGAGGGTTGGTTTGTCTTACAGGTAAAGAACAAACCTTTCATTGACATCTGTAAGAAGTGACATGTTGTTTGGAGGATCCAAAGTCCATAAATGAGGGAGCTACATTTGATGTAGGTCTTCAAGATTTTTGCAGGCACTTGGGTGCCTGCAGATGGAAGTACGACCCTGTGAAACGTATGAAAATGCCTGTTTCTTCCTGTAATTGCCTGAATGCTTTAAGAGACAAACCTTTAATTTGTAATGCCTGAAATGGTAATATGATTAAAGTGAAAATAAATAATTTTACATATTGGTGTGGCAGAATTTTGTCATTGAATTGTTTCTGTTATGTAGCCATATATTTTGCCTAACCATAAATTCTAAATAAACACTTGACTGGCACTTCTTGCTTGCTCCCAACTCCCTTCCTCAGAAATAAATATGGAACAATGAATACTGGCTGTGTCAAATCTCAATGTCTTAGGGTATCTACTCCTTAGTTTTTGAGGTTTGTTTGATGAAACTTGATTTGCTGCTTCTTAATTTGAAATCTTCATCTTGACACAAGATATTCCTTAATATTTTGTGGATACACATACCTCCTTTGAAGGTATGAAGACTCTTACTAGTAATAGTTTCACTAACAAGAGAAATTTTCTCTCATCCTGGATCAGAACAGGAGACCTGCCTATGCATTTCATTCCTTAAATTGGAAGGGTCTCATAAGGATCATCAAAGTCCGATTCCTGGCCCTGTGTAGTGCCATCCCCAAGAATCACACCATGTGCCTGAGAGCCTTGTCCAAATGCTTCTTGAACTCTTGGTGCTGTGACCACTTTCCTGGGGAGCCTGTTCCAATGCCGAACCACCCTCTAGGTGAAGAACCTTTCCCTGATAATCCAATTTGCCTGCTCCCCTGACACAGTTTAATGCCATTCCTTCGGGTCACTTGTCACTCTCACCAGAGAGAAGAGATGGCTACCCATCCTTTCTCTTCTCATGAGGAAGTTGCAGACTGCCATGAAATCTCTTCTCAGTCTCCTCCAGGCTGAACCAACCAAGTGCCCTCAGCAGCACCTTGTATGGCTTCCCCTGTAGGCCCTTCATCATCCTCATGGCCCTTCTTTGGACTCTTAAATAGCTTTATCTCTCTTTTACACTGTTGTGCCCAGACCTGTCCCCAGCACTCGAGCTGAGGCTGCCCCAGTGCAGAACAGAGCAGGACAATCCCCTCCCTAGCCCAGCTGGCCATGCTGTGCCTGATGTACCCCAGGACAGGGCTGGCCCTCCTGGCTGCCAGGGCACTGCTGGCTCATGCTCAGTCAACCAGGACCCCCGGGCCCCTGGACGTGAGGGCAGTCTGGCTGCAACATCTGTCACCCCACTGATGACCAAGTTAATTGAGCTGACCGGGCTGGCTCGGTGGGTGTCCCCTTTCCTCCCTCAGTGCTCCATGTACATCTCTACCAAAGCTGCATGCTGGTTGAAAAGGGTGATCTCCCTCATGGACATGGTGCTGTTCATCAGTCAAGGGTATACAGTAGCCCTGCACCCTGCTAGAACCAAACTCGAGGTTTGTGGCTATTTATGCTGTAACTGCAGTTTCTCTAACAATTTTGCAGTGACCTGCCAGAGATCTAAAAAATATTTTATGAGTGGTCAGGACACAGAAGTTGTGCAATGCTCAGTCTGGGGATCTGTAGTGACAACAGATAGGCAGATATGTTTCCTCCTGTGAGGGTAAGGGCTAAGAGTCTGTTAAAAGAAGATAGTACTGCCTTATCTCTTTGTGAGCAGAAAATATCCTAGGGGAAGTTCTGTATTAACACTAAGAACTGTCCCTATGTTTATTGTTTTCATTAATGGCTTACAGCTTCTCCACAGACATATGAAAATGTGTATTCAGGTTCATACTTCTTTCTTTTGTAAAAGTAGACCACAGCAGCATTAAGTAATAGTTGTTTATTAATAGAGTAATAAAACTTTTCACAAATATTTAGTCATACATTCATAACATTCTTTCCTGTGACAGTTTGGACTGTCACAAAAATAAATAGTTTTTCGTATTTGTCTTATTTCAGTTTTTAGAATGCATCATTTCACTGAACTAGTCACAAGAAGAAAAGGGAATAAATGCACAGTTTTCCAGATTTTAGAATGGATAAAATTGAAAAGATCCCATCCATAATAACAAACGTTATCACATCATAAATTCACCTGTACACTGCAATATGAATGTTAGTGTAATGAAAGGTAATACAACATTAACGTTATTTGGAACCACGGCTTGTAGTTGATATTGAGGACCCACCACGATGCTGAAAGAGAGCAGAATTTATTTATTTGCTAACATAAATTGCATTTCTTTTTTTACCTCTGGTAAAAATTCTAAATAAAATACCTATAATGTGTATAATGAAACATTCATTTATATATGCAGCTAATACTGGTGAGAAAAAGATACTCAGAATACTGGGAGAACTGGGTGTAAGTGGTGGGAAAGCAGCTTTATCACGAGAATTATATCTCCTTTTGATAACATCCAAAGAAGCATTAACGTGTCATAGGCTGCATAGAATTAAGTGCCCAGACCCCTGAGAGTAAACTAAATAAATCCTCAGTCCTGTGCTGCTGTGTGTGTCAGTTTTTAAGACAAGTACTATGTTCCCTGGGTGGTTATGTTAGCTTTAATGACTTGCTTTCCTGGTGACATTATTCAAATCTGATGGGTCTTTTATACAACTCTAGGAATTAATAGCTTTTTGTCCTTAAAAGTAAGAGAATTGATGGACTTGTAAAATATCATTCACATAAAAAGTTCTGTAATCACCAGCTCATAGGCAATGCTGGGGTGAAACCAATCTGTGTTTCTTCCCCACAATCTTTAGCCTTTGGCCTTTTGAAATGGAACCTTATGCAGAGAGGAACCACAAGATTTATGGAGAGAGAGATGGGAAGGAAGGAAGGAAGGGAATTGTGACTGCATCTGAGATGCTAAATGCCCTTAGTAGAGGGGTGTTCTAGACTACATAGGTTTCACACTACACAAATTCATTAGCAGAACTTAATTTCTTATGTATTAATTCCATTATTGCTATTTTAATCAAAATTATTATTAATGAAGAAAACATATGAGAAAATACTCAAGAGTCCTACCTGAATTCAGGCTATCAGCCTAGTAGTCTCTAAAACATCAGTGGATTAATGCATTTCAGCCCCCCAAAATGCCCAATTTAACTATTTATTTCATGGGTTATAGTGTTCAGTGGTTCCCCCTTAGCTTGTTTTCTTTTCCCAAAGGTTCTCTAGAGTCCTCAATTCCAGATATTGTGTAAAAATGCGACTTTCACTGAATATGAACTGAGTGATTCATTCCACCCTGGTAGATTGGCTGAAGCAACTGGGTGAGTTAACAGGTGCATGAGTGGTTATAATAGCTTGTGGTTCCTCTTAACTGATGGCAAATTAATTTTCTTTAGGATAAATACTGTGTCATGGTGAGAACTTATCTTCCTGATTCATTTCTTGGCCACAAAAGTATCCTTATTCAGATTACAATTCGCAATTGATTCAGTTCTCAGCTACCCAGATGTGTAAAAGAAGTTGGGAAGTTTAGCTAGGGTAAATTTATTTTTAGAATAGAGCCTATCTGTGTTCTAATTGCAGATAGGGTTTAGGGTTTTTTCCTTCTGATTTTACAGTGATATCACTTTATGGTGTCTAAAATTCTTTTGTAAAGTGTACTGGTAGCATTGCAGCCATCATTTTTTACTTCAAGATCATTTTCTGTCTTTCAAATACAAATATGATTTGTATAGATCAGCTGTAGGAAGCTCTTGCCATGAAACAGAGTTCAAATCATTGCACAGATTTCTAAATTACAGGTAATGTATAAAATTGTACAAAGAACTGTGAATGCATTAATTCCCATTGCCTCTCCCCCTACAGCCCCAGCAAGGAGTGCACAGTGAGAAATGCTGTTTCTATGGTAACTGTCTGCAAGGACAAAGTGCTGCAGACTGAAATCCTTCTTAGCAGGCAGAGTAAATGCTTTAATGAGTACTTGGAATCCAATTTCAGACACTTCCATATTTAGGCACGTAAAAATTATGTTTACATTTTATGTTAATTGTACTTTACCTGTGAGTAAACCACCCTGGAACAGTGATGGATCATGTGCAGTCTCTTGGACACAAAGAATTTTGGAAAAAGGCTTCATTGTTTCCTGCAATCAAGTTTGTCTTAAATCCAGCAGCATCCCAGTAACATACAAGATTTACAGAGATACTTGTCATTAATTTCGATCTCCTGATTCTGCAGGAATCCCTGGCATATAACTTTGTGTCCACATCAGGCTCATGAGGTCTGAAGATGTCTTGGCTGGTTTCTTTTAAGGACAAACCCTGGGTACAGGACTACTTTTATTTTTCTATTGAGTGGGGTTTTAATATTTTAAATTTAGTCTGTGCTCAGACATAGAAACTTAGGACTTCATTGTAATAGATCTGTGTTCCCTAAAATAAAATAAAAAAAAAATAAATTACTGTCCTCTCTTTGTAAGTATGGGAGTGATGCTTTCTTTGCTTCATCCTGCACCTGCACTGTGTCTTTTAACTCTTATTTCTAGGAGAAAGATGTAGCATGCTGATTGCTTTGTATTAAGAATAATAATTTGGAATCATTGCCACCTTGCTTTCTTGTAACATAGCAGGAAGTGTGTACAAGTTGGTTAGTAAATATTAATTATTTGTAATTAAGGCTCCCTTAAATGTAAGTAGGAATAAATTGAAGCCTTAATCAGAAAGCATTTTTTTCCTTGAAAAGCTTAAATGGTGTCTATTTTATCATTCACAGATAGTATTGTTTATTCTAGATATTTTCTTAAATATTGTGTATTAGTGTAACTTCACACTGTGTGAAAGTACTGTGGGTCTTCTCCTTGCTGATGCATTTTATATTTATGTGGTTAAAATAAAAACATTTGGAATCCTTTTCTCCTCTACACTTTATCAAAGATGATCTGAATAAGGGTGGTCTTGCATATGGAACACACTAATAAAACCTTTTACATGGAACAAAAAAAAATAATGTGAAAAGTTGGTATTTACCAGGGACTAGCATTGTTGTGATGAGCTCTGGAGTTTCTAAGAAATCCACATTGCTTCTTTGGAATTCCTTGCCATAATTCATTTGAAGGTGGCTGAATAATTATAAAAAATAAAAATGTAGCAGGTTTTTTAAAGAGGCTCAATTTTTTTTAATGAGCATTAGAAATTTCACAGTTAATGCTGTACAGAGATTCTGTGCTTCAAAAGTTAAAGTTATAGTGGGAGAGGAGAGCAGATAAGCTATGAAGTGCCTGAATGTTCTATTAAACACAGGTTTTCTTCTGTGCAGCTCGCTGTCAGTCTGATGCTCATCTCTTGGTTGTGACCCAGTACAGTGCTGACATGGGTTGCCAGTGTTCTTGAGTCTTTGTGATAGGAAATCCAGTAAAACTGGGGCTGTGTTTGAAAGGAAGGCAGCAAAGCTGCAAGAGACTTCTCCATCTCCCTAAGAGCAGGTTCTCTCTACGGATTTGGGATCATGGGGTTGGTTTATTTAAGAGTTTTAGCTAAATGTAGATAAGGACAATCCTTTTGACTACTCAATTTCTTAGTCATCTGCTTGCTGGAGGCAAGAATTCAGCTGGTAGGATGTTTAATAATTTCTATTTTGGGCCCAAAAGAGATGCTCTGGGAGTCTGTTGGACGGGTTCCTTTGATGTGGATTGAGAAGTATTGGGAGAGCTCCCAATAACTACTTGCATGCTGAAGTGTGCTGTGGGCTGGCACATCTTCTGTTTCAATAATTGTGTATTTTTATTTCTTTACCATGAAACTGGTGATATTGTTTTCTTCCTGGTTTTCTGTCTCTGATGAACTAACATCCACCTAATGCTTTATCTTTATGTACTCACTTTCAGACTTTTTTGAATAATCACCATTGTCTTTCTGGCATTTTAATTTATATTTCAGTATATACAAGTCTTTTGCAGCTAAAGTATTATTCTGAAGTATGAATTGTGACATATTTAGCAAAAGATCTGTTAGCAGTATTTAAAGTAATTTGTACTCAGTCCTTCTACACAATTGGTTTCTAACCTTCAAAACTTCATGAATTACCAAAAAAAAAAAAAAAGAGAAAACTACCAAAGTCCTGACACTTACCTATTCCAGGCATTGCTGTTTTCCCAGAACTCATAAACAATGAAGTGGAAATTACTTGGAAGCTTCTGTATGGAAACACTAAAAATTTCACAATAAAACTAATTTAATGAAAAACAGAGTTATTTGACATATACATTTTGCTCCTAACTGCTTATGAGTAGGAACAAATGCAGTGATTTAAAAAAAAAACCCCACAGAACAAAAAAACCAAAAACAAAACCAATCCAATTAATAAACTTAACAAATGAGTGATCATAATGACCATATACTGCAAATTATCTGAGCTTTTAAAAATAAAGCCCTTGTATATTTATTTTTATTAATTAATATTTTTTATGAAATTCATTTTTCATATTCCTCCAACAGCAAAATTTCTCTGAGCAAATGCTAAACACAAAATTAATCAAACAGCTGTTCAGGGAAGATCATCTAATAAGTTAAACATTTGTATGAGAGATGCATCAAAGTGTCATAGAATTTAGGTGCTTTGTAAGAGTTTCTCAAGAGTGAAAAATGACCCATGGAATATCTATTGATCTTCTACACAGAATCATCCTGTTTATTATCCTGAACATAAAGGCTTTATAGCCTGTAGGGTACTTACTCATTTGGGTACTCAAATTAGTGTTTAGATAAATAGCACAGAACGTATATACACAGATTTTTCCATATGCCCAAGTGTGAGATTGCTGATCTCACTAATGATGGGCTTGAAAACTGGTCTCAGCTTATGCTTCAGAATGTAGTCAGCAATGTTTTATGATTTATTGGTTTTCTTCTGCTGTATGTGAAAGTGCATGGTAAAATGGTAAAAATATCAAAAGCTGTTGGAAAAAACCAAGTTGCTGTCAATTCCAGCTACAGCAAAACCCATCCATTAGGTGGCATAACAGGCTTGCAAGCCTGTAAGCTTGGGAAAGAAACTTTCTGCCACCGTTTGTTAACTTGCACTCTGAAGTCATGTAATCTCTCTTCCCTGACAAGTCTGCAGTCACCAGTCTCCAGTGTTTTGCTGGATGTTCATTTCTGGGAGGAGGCTGGGAGGACTTCTCATTGGGGATTTTTCCATCTCTTGGCCGACAAGAGAATTTTATTTTCCTCATCAGTCCGCCTTAACAAGTGAACCACTACAGAAAGATCACTCTTCTTCCAACTTAATTTTTCTGGTCTATGTGAACACTATTGATACAATCCTAAATGTGATAATCTCATAGCAATAAGACTCATAAATTAGGTGTGTGATAGGCAGTCTTTGAAATATATAGGGAGTCTCTGAATATATAGGAAAATCGTGTATTATGTACACATTACAAAAATATCTTTCCCATAACGGTCTGTTGTATGTATGATAGATCTCTCCACTATGATAAATTCAGAAACTAAGTACAGTGGTAAACCACTAAAATTTATTCTTAACCCAGCCCTAATGTTTTATTAATTCTAAAAGGAGCAAAGCAAAAGCAAAGTTTCATTGAAAATTTTGCTTTTTAATTTTTCTAATTCTTTATTATGAATTGAAATTTTACAATGACAGCCTAAAGGGAAGATTCTGAAAGCTTTCAAGCAGAGAACTGGCAAACAAATTGATAAATTGCTCCTTCTCGAGGTGAGCACAAATGAAGCATGTCAAATGAGTTTTCCAATAAAGAGTATCAGCCTAGGAGCTTCCAGAAGTCATGGACTGATGACCTGCAGAGCTAACAAGCCTGAAAAGGTTGTTTATCATCAGGTACCCTCTTCATAAATAATCTGAGTTATTAAGGAAAAAGACTCCATTTCTTCCTTCAGCCCAAAGACAATAACATTGTACTTACTGCAAGCAGCCACCTTGAGCAGAAGCAGATTCCATGTACTGCTTCAGAGCAAGACAGAATTCCTCCACTTTTTCTTCTATCACCGACATTTGATGCTGAACAATCATTATGTGTTGCTACAAAACCATTACAATATTACTGAATATTACTGCCACATCTTCCTCTGAATTCCTTATATTTTAAACTCAGAAAAGCCTATCATGAAACAATACAAACCACAATCATAAAAGAAAACCCACAAAAGATCCCTTGAAGTTTGAAGTCCCTGTTTTAGTGATTTGGAAGTGGAGAAGCAGAAATGCTCAAGCATGGCTTTTATGTCTAGGCGAGAGTGTCCACTTCAGACAGTTGACCTAACTCTGGAGGAATCTTTTCAGAAGAGGGCAAAGCAAAAATGTGTTCAGTAATAAAGTCAGTGTGTTTCCTTGGATGAATCTGTCTGCCAGCAGCTGTGAGGTTTGGGATAGGAGCATATCCCCACAATCTGCACTGGATGCATTGTTGTTTTGTTAAGGGGCTTTGGTAGTTTTTACCTTTTAGAGCCCTGACCCTCACCTGAATGAGATGCCTAAAGTAGCCCATGTTAAGTGATGAATAGAGAGGGGGGTTTCCCTCCTTAATTCTGCAGGAAAATGAACAGTCTTTATAAAAGGACTATGGAAACAGTCAGCAGTGCAGAAGACCTACTTATCCTGAATTAGTATAATTATCATTTAGCTCTTTCAAGTAGTTTATTTATTGATTAATCTATTGAAGCTTGTCAACTTTACTAATGGAATATTTAAAGCAACACTTTGTGCTGTGCTTCTTAAGGAGTACAACTTAATTTCTTGTACAGGTTTTTGACTTGGTTTCTGCCTTGATTATGAATACTCTTATATCATGGATTATAGGCAGTCTGTGTAGCAATGCTGCATAATCTCATTTAAAAAAAAATCTAATGCAACTCCCGTGATTGAATATTTTTTCATGTACATTTGTTTTGCATTTTGTTAGGTTCAAATGAAAGAATGTTAGGTTCATGAATTTAATATATCAATCTTGGGACATAAACTTGTTTAACAGTAAGTTTATTTTTGGTCATAATTTTGCTTTTGTAGGTTGTAATGAGTACAAGATATTCCTCCATTTTTCCTCTTAAGATTTCCTATAGCAGTTTTGGGAGGGAGGCTGTACTGCAATGGTTAAAACATTCATGCAGCACTTGGAGCAGAGAAGCTACCACACCATAAACATTGCTGACAAATTTGAAAAATCTTATTAATGACACATTTTTCTCCTTATGTGTGTTAAGGTTTTGGCTCACTCCAGCCTTTGAAAACAATACAAAAAATTAATATAAAAGCTTTTGCCCACATATTCTAATTTTTTGTTCTGTTGGCTTTTGCACAGTGTATTCTGCTAAGTAAAATGGATTCTTATCACTGGAAAAAGTGAGGATAAAGATTTTTTAAATTATTTTTTAACAAAAGAGACCAGGTGTGGTCTCAATGCCTGGTGTTTAAAATAAAATGTCAAAATCATTATCTCGAACAGTACTTACAGATTTTTCATTTTCTTCCAAAACTTCCTCTTCAAATGGCTGAAGCTTTAGGTCCTTTGAGAAAATTGAAAATAAAATAGGAATTGTAAGAAGAGTCAATACTACAGCTGTGTTCTGCTCTTACATTTTTTAACAAAGTATTTGAATAACTAGATTCTGTTCTACCTCAAGAAATTAAATCCCTTCTTTATTAGTTCTAAGTCAAACACAAGTGTTTACAAGATCTTTCATTACTCAGTGGTTAATTCCAGCCTAGGCTGTCTTGTAAAGTTTTATTTATCGTGCTTGGCAGGTGATTTTTTCATTTTAACAAATCTCCTTGTTCCCAAATGTATGTTGGACTTAACTGAGGAAAGACAGTCATCCTCAAATTGTCACATGGGCTGTGGAAATGAGCAATAATGGTAATTTGAAATGAACTATCAGCTACTATTTTGCAATCATAAAACTTTACACAGAAGAAACTTCCCTGCAGGGAATCTGTAGTTACAAGGGGCTGTTTTCTAGCATTGAAAGAGATATGCATGATGGTCCAAGTCAGGTTTCTGAACTGCTGCCCTTGCTGTGAGGACAGGCTGGGCAGCAGCAAAGAGTTGTGTCTGTGAGTTCACCTGGTACATGAACTGGGTGTGCACTTCAGGAATCAGTGATTCACACAAACAACAACCAGTAGCACACACAAAATCATTCTTTACTTGCCAGGCACATGGCACATGCAGTACCTCCTGACCCACTGCCATTATGATATTCTGAAAAGTACCCATATGCCTGAAAAAAGCCCTGCAGATTGATTTGCAATAAGCAGCTGGAGCAAAACACACTCTGTTAGTGGTGCTTCACTTCTCGCTGAACACAGTTCTTGTGCAACAAAGAGAAAAATTTTCTTCCCCTCCCAGCATGGGGGAGGATTGATTAAGCTCAGGTAGCAGCTGTTCTGCCAGCACAGATGCTGTACTCTCTGAAAAGCCAACAAGAGATGTGCAGGTAGAATTCAAATGAACAGAGCACCTCCACCAGCAGCAGGTGGCAGAGCAAGGCAGGACTGAAGTATTCAGAAACTGCTGTGTAGTTAAAGTCATGTAAAGTGTGTGTGAAGGGAAAGACAGACAGCTTTATTGTAAGTGCAGACACTTTGGATTAAAAGACCAAGTGAAAAATGTGTATTCCTGAAGTGAGAGTTCACTTTCACTGCCAGTTTTTTCCTCAGGAAACATATGAAAAAGAGAGGAAAGGAATGACTCAAGGAAGTAGTGCAAAGTTTCTTTAAATGTAGCAAGAAGATAATTGTTTTCTTTGCCAGTATATGTAAATTTAGAACTTGAGTGAAAATAGACAAATTTCAGGACTGATTGATGATCAAATTCCCCTTTGACAGAACACAGCAGAAGACTTAGAGAGCACTGAATCTACCCTTCATCAGGTAGTTTTCCAGTAGGAACACTGACTGATAGCGTGCTAGCCCTCTTTAGGAGTTAAAACTAATCTCTGGTAGTTCTGCAGTAATGTTGTATTGTCAGGCAGAGCGTGGCTGCACACAGGGTGACCTCCAAGTGTGTGAGCACTGGCACATGATCCCCATCTGTGTGGAAGGAGGGCTCGTGGCTGGTTGGCTTGGCTCTTGAGCCTAGTGCAAGTAGCCCAGTGCAGAACAGAGCTCCTGCCAGCCCCATACCATGCAGCCTAGAAATAAAAATGATGCAGCTCAGAGCTAGGGCTTTAAAATGCTTCTGCAATCCTACTTCACCTCAGCTCAGAAGTGGTGGCTTCTGAAATTGCTTTTTAGCATGGTTGTGCAATCCTTTCTAATCTGTTTCAGGGCAAAGTCAAAAAGAGGGGTTTTAGTAGCTGCTGAAAGGCAGCTGATATTTAATGCCTCTCACAGTCTGACATGGCTGTGAGATACAAAGTCAAGCAGATGCAGAGTTAGGCAGAGGTGGATATAGGTTGTTAGACTTTTGTAATTGCTATGTTTTATTTATCAAGCTTTATATTGACAAGGAGGTAATTATGGGAGGTCTATGTCCTGTCACTGATTGCTTTTGGCACCAATTCCTTTTCAGACTGAGGTTCTCTGTCATTTTTCTGTAGGACATTTGATCATCTTATAACATCCTTGTTGTAAGTTCATTTACCACAAAATGTTTGTCTGCTTTATGTAACATTTGTATTGCATTATTGCTGTGTGCCAGGTTTACTTATTTTTTAAGCAATATTCTTTTAAATGTTTTCTTTTGGCATCAGGCAATCAGTCATGTGGCAACTGTGGCAGAGCTGTGAGCTGCTGTTTCCAAAGCAGAGCAGGGAATAAAGCCAGACTTACCTTTCATAGTGGACTTTGACATTTCAAAATCCAATTTATATCTATTCAGAAAAAGATCAAGTTGCTACTAAAACCCCATTAATGCGGCAGCTGCTGTGTAACTGCCTTTTCCCTGCAGAAATGACCTCCAGGGGGAAGTGGTTGGATAGAGGCTCACAGGTATTCCCTGGCCAGAGCTTACTGGACTGAGCAGACCATGAGGAGCTGTGGAGCGTGGCAAGGAGCAGGGTGAGAAGCTGACAGAAGTCATGGACAGTGCCACAAGGAATGGCCAAATTTCATGGCTGGTTAAGGAGAAGTGATGCGAGAGTCTGTCAGACTGCAGGGATAACCAAAGGGAATGCTGGGCTCCTTTAGGAGCAAGGCCAGCAGTGCTGGGGGTGACAATACGCAGCTAATCAGTAACAAGGCAGAGATAACAGAAATACCAAACTGGGACCAAGGGGAGAAAAGTAATCAGGGACAGTTTTTCATTTGTGAGGGAGGAATGGCAGAGAAATGTCAGTATGCTTCTCTTGCTGAGCCCTGTGCCAAGTCACCAACATTTATTGGGGTTTTTTTTGTTAAATCCTTACTTAACTATTTTCTGTGTATGTAACTTGTTACTGGACTCAAGTTGGACTAGTGGTTGAGTAACAGGAGACATTTTTGTGCCATGACCCAAGGTCTGAGCCAGTGCCTGGGTAAGGAGTATGGGTCTAACCACAAATACTAGATGATAATATTCATGGGGGAATATCCCAGTCAGCTAGAAATTAAGAACAGGGTCAGGCAATTTCATGACCCTGTGAGTGCTGCCTGTGTGTGGGTGCTGGTGAAGAGACCCATGCCAGTGTCTTTGGTGTACAGGCAGAGTCCCACTGCTGGTGAGCACTGACCTGTAGGAACAGGATCGGCTGCACTGGGACTGGAGCTACTCCGGGTCTGAGAGCACTTCAACCCAAAACCTCACCTCTAGTGAACAAGGAGAAAGAAACATCCTGGGTCTCAAAATCCACTGAATTCAGCCACTCCCCTAGTGCCTACCTGAAATTATCTGTCTGTCCCTCAATAGGGAAACTTAATGCAGAGAAAAACTCAGGAATTTACAACCTTACTTAATAACCTACAACCTTAACCTCTGGTGCTCTTTCTTCTCCAAAAAAAAAAAGTCATCACACATAGATTATAAAACAGCTTTTGAGCACCAGGGTAGCAATCAAGTCTGAATAATAATCAAGAACAGATAGTTTCTGTACTGACTGATGTAGCTCAGGATTTTACAAGCACTGGGAAGCCCTGGTGTTGCTGGATCAGATGGGTTCTTTGTCAGACTCCTGGAGGACTCTGCTTTGGTGTGGGAACCACAGGTGGCTCTGGGGGCTGCTGCAGCCAGCTCCCAAGAAGGATTTGCATCAGATTTTGGTTGAACTGTACTGACCAGGAAAGCAGTTTAATCTTTATAAATGAGTATTCTCTGATGGGAAAGGAGGAAACAAAACTTTCTGTCAAGCTTTCATGGGAAAGCTTGGAGAGGAAGAGGAAAATATCAGATCCTAAAAGGGGAAGGTTGTAGCATGTTCCCCCAAACAAATATAACTAAACACATTAACATTCTCCAGTCATAAAATAATACATTTTTTTCACATCTTTATGAATCTGTGGTGATGGCAGGAGGAAAAGGAAGCATGTAAAAACAATGTCATGAGTAGGAAAGAGGAAGGTGGAAGAAAAATGTAGGCATTTAATGGGTGTTAGCTCTCTTAGGTAATGTTGCTGGGGCACTGAAAATATTTATGTTTTAAGGATTTCTTTACTGAAAGTGAAAGAAAAAACAGGTGAAAAAGCCCACACACCTTCTTTTCCAGTCTATCAGTTAGCTTCTGGAGTCTGTTTATCTGGATCACCCATTGGCTATCTTCCTCAATCCAACCTTTGGAAAATATAAATTATAAACATTTATGAAATGTTACTAAGTTGCTGGTAGACTGTTTATTACTGTATTTTATATTTCAAAATAAATTGCTCTGCAATTTATTTGGTTTCTCAAAGATTATGCTGCAACTAATATAATGTTCATTTAGGTGAAACTAAATGAAAATGGAGATCACTGTGCATGAAAAAAAAATCATAAAGCTGGAAAAAACAAATACCGTCAGTCATCTTAGTAATTTCAGAGCATTTCATATTGCAGTGGTTTGGTTTCTACATTTGATATTAAACTGCCCTTGGATTTAAAAAGAAGTTGTCAGAGCCCAGCATGTACCAAAATTATTGTCTTACAGGCAGCCCACCATATGATCATCTGGACATTCAATTTCAGGAAAACTCCTATTAGTGAGTTCTTATAGGGAATAAAAAGTGTATCCTTATTTCTCCTGTTACTCCCCATACCAGATTTCTGGGTGAAATGTAAAGCAGTCATGGAGGTTTGCAGTGACCTCACTCCTCACCCCCTTCCCTCAGCTGAAGAGAGCTCACCTCTCCTGCCGGGTCTGCTCCTCCCTGGTTTCCATGGCACACTCCAAGATGCTCTGGAGGGATTCATTGCAGCTGGTTCAGTGTCTCCCTCAAAAGAAAGTGAATCACAAACTGCTCCAGGTTGGAAGCTTCCTGATAGTCCTAAGAATTACATGAAAAAAACCCCAAAAGGTCAGGCTCTGCTCACTGAGTTAGAAATACACGAGGGAAGGTTCAGGCTCCATACAGAAGGGAAGCAGGTTGGGTGTTTCCATGTTTATACATGTAAACCAAGTAAGCAGCCTTTGTTGACAGACAAAAAAACCTCTGAATTTCCAAGTGTAGAACACACAACTCCCACTCAGACTGAGAGACCCAAGTACACAGTGACACAACACATTTTCTACTCAAAAAGACCCTTTTCTTTACATCATTAACTCCAGCTGATGGCAGCACCACATTACTTCTGAAGTGTGGAAAAGACAAAATAAGATTGACAGCTGCAGAACTGAATTTAAAGTTTTAATTCAGACACACCCTTATGAAAATGTGTTTCTCAAGCCCAGTGGCCTGTCTCAGACACCGATTATGAGAATAGTCTTTGAACATGCTTAGGATACTCCCTTGAAAAATCCCACTAGCACTTGGTTGAAGTACTGTGCAAGAGAGGTTGGAGGTTGCCTTCTGAATTTAACACTCTTTGACTCGTTTTTGTACCTTTAACTTGTTCAATTATTTTGAAACCATATATCTGTATATTTCACGATTTCATTAAATGCATCTGAATGTTATTTAAACTAGAGTTTGGTTATTATAAAAGTTTTCACCTATACTTAGCAATTTGTAGTGGTTCTTTGAATAATGACATTTCCAATGTATTGTATGTATCAAAATTATTTATGCTTTTTTTTTGTTTGTTTGTTTTGGTTTTTTCTTTGTGTAGATAATTTAAGAAACCAATTTTTATGCCTGTTCTCTCCCTGGCCTAATAAGTAATATTTCCATGGCTGGGGTCAAATTTGACATTTCTGGCTAGCCCAGATCTGCAAAAACCCACTGTGTTCCACCCTTCCAACCATGCCCATGATGTGATTTTGTGAATTGGCAGCTCTGCAGTAATATGTAGGTGATGCTTTGTGAGAGGGGTCACCTTTACAATAATATAAACACCCTCTTTCTTTTTTTCCCATTAATAAATGTAACAGAGAGGCTAGAACAGACCCCTAGAGCCTCTGCTTACTATGTTGAGGTCACATCAGGAGCAGAGATAGAAAATAGATTTACATCTCTTAAGTTTGGAATGAATTTGTTGTGTGCTCACTTAGCTGATCTTGAAAACCTTTGGGAATAATTCTGTCTAAAACAGGTTCATAGAATATGAAGTACCCCCAACAAGAGATTTCTTTAGTCACCACATCTGAAGAGAGATGATGGTGCCCTACCTCCAAGCTTTAAAGAAGACCTGTCACTTCAATGGTGCTGCCTCCTGCACTATCTGAGAACCCATTTGAGTATTTTTGGTAGTGCATGTGGATATTTTTAAAGTATTCCATGTTCTTTCCAATGTGAATTACAGCTGAAATGCCTTTCTGATTTTTAGACTTCTCTTAGAATATTTCCATATATGTCTTTGCAATGAGAACACAAATACAAGGTGTTTTGAAATTCGAATGTTAAATGAAAGATTGTCAGATAATAGCTTTAAAAACATTTTGCTCTCAAATGAGTGCAATCTTTTCACAATATATGTTAGTAAGTTAGTTTTTGTTGGGAGACTTCTGCCACAGGAATCTCAGTGGTGATGTTAAATGCCCCCATGAATCATCAGAAGCTGTTTATGTAGCCAGAAGCTTTGTGGTCTTTTACATTTACTTCTGTCTGCAGATTAATCAGCTGTGAGTCACTTTCCAGCAAATAATTTTTCATTGATGCAATTTTAAAATAGATGCTCAAGAGAGATTGTCTGTCTACCTGAGGGACTAACACCAGTCTATAAATAATGTTTATGGCAACCATCTTATGATTACTTAATCTTTTTGTGCAATAGGAAAGCTGTTATTTTATTATTCTTCTAAACTGTCTCCATTGTAATTGATTTAAAACTTCAGTGAACCTGACAGATCATTTAATTTCCAAAAGTTTTGATTCTCTGGCATGTTAGAAGAGCATGTGTGAATCTGTTCAGCGTGGACAGATAATTAAAACCCTTCAGTAGAAATCAAAGCTATATTTTAATTTTTTTTTGCTTCCTGCTGACACTCATGGTAAATCATTATGAATTACAACATAAATGTACATCAGTATTGTTTCAATTTGTAAACTGTTCAGGTGGGCTCTCACAGATAGGTTATTTTATCATATAAACATTAGCTGTGTAATACCTGCTGCTGTCTGAGGCTACTGCTTTCTAGCTCCTTCAGAAAAAAAAAAAACCCTAAAAAAGTTTTCCTGCATCTGAAAGTTAATAAGTTTTTTTTTTTTTTCATTAGAAGTACTACTAGTTTTTGCATTGCACTGGGATTTAGACTTTTTTTTTCTTTATATACCTGTCCCATAATTTCTATATTTGAAGGCTTCCCTATGGAAGAGGACCTTGTGAGCTTTGGATATGTCTTAGAGTTCCCTTATCAGACTTACAGGGCTATTCTCATAAAGATGGGAAAGGTAGGCAGGATGCTAACATAATTTGTGGCAGTCTAGAACTATCAAAGTTTGGTTCCTTATGTATATTTAACCCAAATATTAGTGCTTACAAGTATTCTATGTGGAATTACTTAACTCTCTTAATGCACATAGTTGAGCAAATAATTACAAATAATTTACTGTTTTCTTTAAAGAATTGCTGAGTCAAGAAAATTTGAGCTCACAGGATTGTTGGACAGTGAAAAATAACTACTACCTGTCTTCCTAGAGTTCTTCAGAGATCACAGAAGAAGGTATTCAGCATATGTAAATGATCTGAATAATTGTAATTTAAGTCATGGAGGAAAAAAAAATTGTCCATTACAATTCAATTTAAACCTCAAGCCCAGCTCTCAGCACTGAGGAAAAGTACCTTATCTTGTATTTTACTAAAAGCACACTGGTGCAACTTTTTTGTATCCATTTTAAAAAATATATTATTAAGTAATTAAATAAATAAAAATAATTTTAACTTTAATTTTATTTTTAATATTGTATTATTATAATATATTATTATATTTTAATTTAAATTATTATATAATTTTAAATTATTGGATATTATTATATAATGTTGTTAAATTAATAAAAAATAAACATTATTTATTTATTTACTTATTTGATATTATTTATTTATTATACTATTTATTACATTTATATTATGGTAGAATCAGCTTGAGTGGCATGCCCAGCATTTGTATTGCCAGTGCATCATGCCACCAATCAGTAAAGGGACCCAAGGGTGGTGTCTGTACATAAACTAGAAAAATGGCCCATTTCTTGAATGTCATTAGCTGTAAGTTGCTGCTCATTAGCATACACATTACACTGCACCACAGGCTGGGCAGTCCAGATGAAAAAAGTCTGTGTTAACATATTGTTCTGCTTGTTAGTTTTACTGAGTGGGAATGAATGAGGGTAATTTTCCACATCTTCCTCATCAAGAGGCAACTGTGACCTTTGTGAGCAGCAAAGATTTGTGTTTTCTTTAATGCAACTGAAAATGTACATAATTAGTGATTTTGCTGTGGAAAAGGTCACTGTGGTCTTTAAAAGTGTCTAAAAGCTATCTTTAAAAGTGCAGAAGATGTCCTCCTTTTATAAAGGCAGAGGAGGCAGGGTTTAGGAATCTCCTAGTCCCCATCTCAGGGCTACCAAGGTTCAACAACTCTTGATCCTCTCAGTCTCTGGTGCCAGCCTCAGCCCCCTCCCCTGGGTGACTCGACTGTGATGTTCCATTTATCAGAAGAGCAGCATCTTGAGATGGAGAAGGAGTGGGACACTTCTTACTAATATATTACTTAGCAAATATTCTGTTTCCTATCTATATGTCATATTAAACATAATTTCACAAAAATATTTATGCTTATATTTACAGAAAATACCCTCAAGTCAACTGAAAAGCAGTTATCACTGAGTAGAACTCAGTAAGGAATAATCTATTTAAATTTCCCTTTATTATGGAATGTCTCCTGCCCTGTATGTTTAGATCCCAAATAAGAGGGACAATGCCCTGGGTTACATCTTTAAATTGAAGATATATAATTAGTCAGAATAACTTCACTAAAATTAAATCCCTAAGATCTAATTCTTCAGACTGCAGGAAAAAATCAAAACAACATCAGAATAAAATCATAATTTCACCAAAAGCCATACTGAGAGATGCTCAATGTATTGATGTCACACAAATGTAACCTTTACAGCATCCTCACGGTAAAAGTGATCAAAGGCAGGATGTGCCCAATTATTAGATTCAACTTTGAATATGGCACAAGTTTTACAAGTTTACCCAAGTACTGTATTTAGAATAAATTATGTGTTTAAATTCTACATAGAGAATTGGAGCAGTGACAATTTCTACAAACCATCTGCAGTGATAACATACCAGCAATGAAATAAAATAGGCAGTCATGGCTGTTTAGAAAGAAGATTGTCACACATTTGTAATAGCATCTCTCAGAACAGTCTATCACTCTCCTGTACTGGGATTACTGAAGGAGCAATTGTCGTTGCAATAATAGCATGCACAAAATCCATGCATGGATAAAAAGTAGCTCCTATTTAAGTGCTGTTAGGTGCATCACATAGCTTAGAGACAAGGAACTGTTTTGGCTGTGTTTGATATTAGCAGGTAGCAGGGAAATGTGTAATGCTTTTCCTCCAGGGAGAGGTTTGCAACAATACATAGAAAACATCAAAGCCACTGGAGGTTCTGATAGTTATCAAGAGGAGAATGGCTAGCTCAGTGTTTATTTTTCTGCTGTGAAGTAATTTCTATTTAGAGGTATGAATATTAAATTAAGGGTGTTTTCGTTTTATCTTTATTTCTGACTAAACACATCTTCTCTGCTACTGGCAAAAATTTCAGCATTGTGTCTTTCTGACCCAGTAGGTATAAAACTTCCACAAGAAAAGATCAAAGAAGTTCCCAAGAGTTTTCATTATTCTGATAAGGAGCTAGAAGAAGAATCTCTGAATCTCTG